ATTTTTATAACTATTATTGTTATTTTTCAATGAAACTGAACTTAATCAAATATAAAAGCTAATGAAATAACTTAAAAAATAAATAGCTAAAATATAATAAGCTAGAGAATATTCTGTTGATTAATTAAAAACTAACAATATAAGACTTAAATTTGTAGACTATATACAAGTTCGTCATAGCGAGGCTCGACTGTAAATTAATTGTATTCTAGCTCCGCATATAAGTAGTTGTTTTCCCATTCCATTCGAGCCCATTACCCCTGCACATCCCAGTTATATCGGCCCTGCGTCGCGTCTCTGCCCTTCAGCCCTAGCCCCCGTCTAGAGCAAGTGCATGAGCTGCCTTTGCTTTGGACTTTCATGAGCTTCATTTTGCATGCGCCGGTTTTTCCCTTGAATCTTTTTGACTGCCGCCACAACTCTTGCTCTCAGCTCGACCTGGCTCGGCAGGTGCAGCTACATTAGCTGCCTGCCTCATTTGCATGCGCCCCTTTCCGATTGCCCCCATGCATCCTAGCAGCTGTCTGCTGACCCCAAAAAAAAAACAAGAAGAAAAACAAGCACTGCAAAATAAGTAAGATTGCTCGAGTCGGAAGTGCCTGACTGTAAGATACCCTAAACACATCGCCGAGCTGCTGTTTTAAGTAGTTCTAGATATGTTCAATATACACACAATTATATTTTGTGCTGCGGAGAAGAGGTTCTCCTTCTTCTATTAGCCCATGGTATGAGGAGTGTGCTCGGTTAATTAATTGTTTGGGTCTTATGAGGAAGAGCTAGCAAACAAATGGAATATGCTAAATCTATGTATAATATATGTTATATATTGTTTACATACATGGATCTGCATATTAAATTTGGTATATTTAGCACCGATACTTATCGATGACAGAAAGACCTATCGATAATTTCCAATAAGCCTGATCTCTTGGGGAAAGTATGAGCATTTACCATTTGAAATGCTTAGTTGTTATAGTTCCCGTGATGGAAGCGTTAATAGAGGAACACACAGTCAGACGAATATGGTTGAAAGATGTTTTCTGCTGCTTGTTACATACTCTTTACGCTAGCACATAATGCCCTTTATTCACACATTTTTAATGGGCACAGGTCATAGAAGTAGAAAAATGACGACGCTGCCAGCACGAAACACGTCACATTCAAAGCATCAAACACCTGGGGCCGTTGTCAGCGAGGCTACCAGAAACGCTTCCAGGCAAAAAAAAAAAACAAGAAGGGGAAGGCAATTCGTGCATTAAATATGCAACATGTCCAATGCATTTTAAAGCACAAACACACACACTCGTGCATATAGATATATATATGTATTTATCGATAAAATAGATACGATAAAAAGTGTAGTCTACATATTGCGCTGCTGCGGTGCTAACGTGTTTTCGCCGTGCGAAATGTTTCAGAATTATTATTGGCCGCAAACGTTTCAGGACTCATTTCTCTATCGGCTTATACAGAAGATACAGGTGTGCCATGAGCCAGGCATAAATGCCAGACAGCCCAGGTAGGTCGAAGTTCACAAAAAGCGAATCGAGTCAAAACTTCGTAATTAGCTTCGTTAAAGTTTCTTTTGCCCTGCCAACTGAAAGTGAAAAATTTGTGCAAAAGGAACAACTTAACGGCTGCAAACAAAGCGCCCAATGACATTTAAGCCCTCCCTCCAATCCGGTAACCCCTTCCGTTCACAACATCAACCTTGGCCTTTGCTACGCATGCCACATTGTCTGCAGCCCGTAAGTATGCAATGGTTTTTTTTCATTTGCTGCGTGTATATGCGCTGCACATTTGGCATTAATAGCTTGTTATTTATGGCGCTCGCAGCCTGTGTATTTTTGCGCGCAAGGCCAAACTTCAATGCTGGCCCTAAGCGCAACCAACAAAGCTATTTCAGTTGGCATAAGTTCGCATTATTCGCTCAGTGTACGCAACGTTGCCACACTTCGGCGGTGTCCGCGTTGCCAGCTTTGCCGTGTGCAAAACTTTTTGCCACGCATATTTATTTCTATTTTTACAACAGGCACTTGAGCAAAAGTTGTTCGTTGCGCTGATTATTTTCAAGCCTCCTTTTTACAACAACTCGAACTTGTGGTCTCTCTCTCTCTCTATCTCTCTCTCGCTCTCTTTCTCTGTGAAAAAAGTCAGTTCGCTGTCCCAACTGCAAAGGTTACGAGGCACACCTTCAAGATGACTTACATATTGTTTGCAACACGAAATATATGCCCTAAGGCGAAGTCATATACTCGAAGCATTTAAATGCAACAGAACGTATATTAGCCCAATCAAAAGAGTTCATTTAATATAACGAAAAGCTGCTTCTTTTTTTAACTTCTTTAGAGCAGAAAGTTGTGTTCTTTCCCGCCTTCTATTTATTTTTTATGGTCTTTGTTTTTCATTTAAGCTAATTTCAAGTGAGTTCTGTCAAAAGGTCACTCTCTCTTAATCAAAGAACCGCCTAAAGTTATTCTGAAAATCTTTCTAGGGACAATATATCACATTGCAGTGTGGCAACTCTGCTCTTGTTTCTTTATTGAAATTGCAAATTTAGCAACTCTGCCTGTTCTATTTACATGTTAAAAATAAAAGTGGAAAATCATTTGAAACCAAACTTATCCCCAACAACATATTAAATGCGTTGCAGGGGGACAACTCTGGTTTTCTTCGCTTATAAAAACTGCAAAGGCGGCAACTCTGCCTTCTTTTCGTACGGGTAAACAAATTATAATCAGAAAGTGATAAAGTTGGCTTTTTTATGAAGTTAGTTTAATATGGTAACAATGTGTAAGCTAAATATAAAAGTATGGCAACTCCGCAACTCTATTATTATATAAAATTTAATAATAAAAAGCGCTAAAGGCCTTCACCTCCATAATTAAACTTAAACTTCTTAAAGTAAAATATAACATTAAATAAAAATAAAAATTCCCAGCTATAAAAATTAAATTGCATAACTCTGATCTGCTTCCAATTTTTAAACTGTTAAAAAAAATAATAATTAGCGAATGGATTTCATAATTCCATAAATATATTACTAAATTGTAGTACAACAAAAATATTTTACAAAAATATTTTACTTATAATAAAGTTACATCGTTTTATTTTTTAAAAAATTTTAAGCAATCGTATACTTTGACTTGAAATATTCTACCACAATGACCAGTGATATAATGTTAAATAATATCCTCTTATAATTATTACCACCTAATTAAATAACCGAAGCTTAACACACTTCTTGGCTCACCAGACTATTACTTCATTTGGCAGACTTCGCACTCGGACGCCCTCTCTCTCTCTCTCTCTCTATATATATATATACCTCTCCCTCCCACTCATTGAAAGCCGTCGCAGTTCGTAATACATAATCAATATTATAACAATGGGTTTTTGGCTACCCACTTGACCAAGAGTTGAATAGCCGCCGGCAACTGTCGACTATTGAACCCGACTCGAAAGGGAACATTGTGTCCAAGAGCTTTAGTACAGTAAATAATGAAATAGTAGTTATTGAGTTAATATAAGCCGTGAAGAGTATAATTAGGAGGCATGAAAACGAGCACAATTCAACGTGAGAAATCAAAGCAAATGCTGTGGCATTCACAACGTTGTAAAAGCAAAAGAGACGATCCACTCAAACGCCGGCAGTATAATTATGCAAATTGAATTGCGCGAATCATTTGTATACAAATGCCCCGCCACTTGGCCAGCAAGAGAAAAGGTCAAAAGCCGTCAGCTTATTGGCGAAATTAGTGAGAGCAATTAGAGGGTTTGGCACAGAACACAAATTAACAAGCAAGAGTGCTTCAGTCGGAATTACCCGACGAGGCGATACCCTATACCCATCGAGCTGTCTGCCTTTAAAAGCAGACTCTCTCAAATATCATGCACTAGGGAAAAGTATCAAAAAGTGAACTATTTGTAATCTCTAAATATTTAGCAACAACCTACATACCAAGCTTAGTGTATCTAGCTCTTATAATCTTCGGGGAATGTTCAAAAAACCATGTCTTTAAATCGATATTTATCGATATTATCAAAGAACACAGGAGATATCGATGAAAACTTGATTAACCAATGCTGCCTTTGGTGCAGAAGTCTGTAGCTTTTATTGTCTCCGGGATCAAAGATAGAAGATATAAACTAATGAACTAAGCTCGTTATAATCATATAATCAATAATATCGATAAGTATTTGTAGATGGAAGATAGAAGCTGTGCCGACTCAGTTTGTAATGCACCTTATATCAGAATAGAGATATATATATTATTTAATTTTTTAGTTGTTCAAAATCGATATTTATCGATATTTTTAAAAAGAGGGAAGTTAACGAAAGCCAAATACACTTTCTCTACGTATGGTATACGAATATTTATATTTCAGAATTTAAAGTCCTAAGCTTTTACAGTTCTCGAGATCGACGCGTTTACATACATATACTCTTATTGCCCATTTCTGATTGGATTCAGGGTATAAAAAGGTGTTACGACTGTATTTTTATTGTTCTAAGTATGTCTCCCTCTCTCTCTCTCTCTCTCTCCCTCTTCCTCTCACGTTCTTTTTCTGTGGCACAACACGGCGTATGCGTGACAATGTTTAGTAATTCATTTCTGAAACGCTGCTTACTCCGGATTTCAATGCATTTTTGAGTATATTTAATGTATGTTTAATGCAACACGCAACAAAGCAAAACGTAACAAAAGCGGAAGCGCCAATGTCCAACGCGGCGTATGTGCAATGTCCGCAAATGCAATCGACTTTTTGGCCCGGTGTTGGCCCATGGTTTGCGTGCTGGCCACTTTGTTTGCCACTGCTCAAGTTCTGGCCAGCACAAAACTTCAGTCGTTCGCCGGCTCTTGACGTTTCGACAACGTCTCGTGCTCCATTTTATTTTCAATCGTCGTCCTCGTCGGGCGACGCTTATGTCGTTGTCGTTGTCATTGTCGCTGTCTTTGTTGTTATTACTGAAGTTTCGAAGGTGATAAAGCAATAAAATATAATATTATATATATCGACGTGCACCATGAAAATGTTTGAGATATCCAAGCTGTTTTCACTGCGAAGGTAAGCCTGAATGCAAGCGAGAAAATATGTAAAAGACTCGAACATTCCAGCAGTTTATGTGGAGTTTAAAACACAAAATCTATCAATTTGGTATTTTCAAAAATTAGCTTTAACCCATGACGGGCCATGTTTTCCAAGGTTTAACTGTTTACTTTAATACTTTTATAAGGTTGTGGAGGGAGAGACTCAATTTAGAATAATTGCAGCCTAGCATAAACAAAGTCTTAAGTGAACAAGAGTTCACATATAAAATATCATTTTTTTTACTTATTTAATTATTTACATATTTCTTATTAATTAATTTATTAGCTGTTTCATTGTGCACCATAGCTAGAATCTTAGATACTAGGTTTATTTATATATTTTAATCATAAAACTTTAAAATAAAAAAACTAAGTATAAAGAGAAATTGAATTTAATAGTTTTATAACTTTAATTCTGAGCTAATTAAATCTACAACTAGCAAAATATATTAAAATATAATTAATATTATATAGTATGAAAGCCTCATTCTGCACTTACCCATATAAATATTTACTAAAATATACTTAATACTATTAAATTAGTCAATATTTTATATTATTAAACCTCAAGCTGCGGCTACCAATATTTTTAGTTATATTAATATATGTATATAAATAATTTTAATTAATTATAATTTATATTTAAATTAACATTTTTCCCCAACCCAAAATTATTTTGTGAAAACTTTTGTTTTCTTGGAAATAACTTAAAATAAGTTATTTTATATTAAGTTGAAATTAAAAAAAAAAAATATTTTTTATAGATAAAGTTAAAATAAAAACATGCTCAAATATACAATTTTATTTAATTAAATAAATAAAGACAGCTCTAATTATATTCTAAATTATGTTACTTTAATAAAAAAAATATTGTTTTAAATTTTGAAAATTTCTTATTTATTTTTTTTTTCTTTGAAGAAAAATATGATTTCTAATTGAAACTCTCAAGACTTTAATTATAATTTCTTTAAATTAAGACATGTATTTGCAATCGAAACAAGCAAATGTTATCGATAACAGATTATCAATGCCGTCTCTAACTGTGCGAGCTTAACATTATTTCCAGCTATCAAAAATGTATATATTCGAGTACTACTTATTCAGTATAATTGGCATTAATTAAATATTTAACTATCAATTGGGCACGAGCAGACAAACGTGTCAAGCACACTTTGTAAGACTTATTTCCGTAATATTCTGGCGTACTATGCCTTAGTTGCACTCCCAAATGCCAGACATTAATAACTCATAATTCCCTGGAAAACCCACCCAAAACCCGCTCAGTCTCAAGTCGTTTGCACTGCTGCACCAGTTTAACTGTCTTCCCCTAGTTATTGCTTGGCTGACCCAAGAAGTTCCCGTTTAGCCAGAAACTACCAGGTAACCTCAAAAGGCCAGAGTAAAAAGAAAAACTACGCCTCAAATGCTTTCCGGCAAACGTCGGTCGACGAAAGCAAACACAACACAAGCCATAGAGCAGGGCTCATGAGGGTGTGGGCGGGGGATAAGGGGTAGCCACAACATGAGTCAAACATGAAACTTCTTGAAAAACTTTGGAGCAGTGCGCATGGTTTTTGCTTTTGTTGTGGTTTTTTGTTCAGCATTGTTAACTTTGGTCGCATTGCTATGACATTGGCTGCGCCCTAGCCGGGCCCCAAAAGTCCGGGCAATCAGTCGCTGGTTGTCAGTCAAACAAAACGGCTTTCGAACCGTTTCGCACGCGTCTGCGACGACCTTAGAACAAAATTCGTCAGAATCATATTGATCGGTAGACGATAAAACAAAAAAAAAAACAAAACAAAAGAACGACTATTTAGCGCATGGTGTGTATTATTAGAGAGCATTGCATCTGTGCAAGATTTTAATCCAAATAATTGTGCATTTCACACAATCATTTCGCATGGCATGTATAAATTTCATTAAATACTCAACTCCACAAAACTATCACAACCAAAAACTAGTGGCAAATACGTGTAAAGTTATAGCCAGATGGATACCAGCTAGGTAAGTGCTCAGTTCGACAGCTGCTAAGTGTTAATTTTCTGTCTGTTTTCTCTGCTTTTTACTGGCTTCACTTTTTCTTTTTTTTTGTATTTTTGTTAAGTTCAATTCCATTTTGCAGTTGGACCTTGGACGCGGCACATGAATATTTCATTTAATTGCATTTTTCTATGTTTACGAGCTGCACACACATGCTTAATGGTTCGAGTCCTTCCTCTGCCTGCCACAGCAAGGTTCAGTTACCTCGGCTCGGTCTGACATTGAAACGCCAGCAAATGTTGGCTTTTTATCGGGCAATAGTATAAAGAGCAGCACATCAGCTAAAATCCTCGAGTTGTATGCATAAAACGCCATTTTGACGGAAAAGGACACGCATTTCAATTGTAGCTGGGCAATCGATTTTAGCTCCAGTTTTGCTGTTCCAGCGAGAAATTATTAGTTGGGTCTCACTTAACTATCATTAAAGCATATGGTATTATTAATATTGATTTTACTCAGACGTAATTATTTAGACGCATAATTATATCAGTGTCTAATTATAACTAATTGGCGTATATTAACTGGAAAACGATTTGAATTATTATTAATAAATTATTCTTCAATTTTCTTTAAATTTTATTTTTAATACTTTTTCATTAGTATTTTTACTACTTTTTGTATTTATTTGTTTATAATTATTTTAATCATTTTTTATTATTGTTTTTGTTTTCTTTTTTTAGTTTTATTTTAATTTTAAGGTTTTTAATTATTTGTATTTTTTTATTTATTTTATTATTATTTTTAAAATTTATAAATCTTTGAAGAGGCATAAAAGTCAACAAGGCGCAAAAAATAGATACCATTTTTATAAGTCCAAGGAATTGAGAGAACAAAATCGTTTTAATATTTTATATATTTTTAAATATTAAATATAAAGCAATAATCATGTTCATTGCCTCACAACCCAGGCAAAAAATAAAGAGAAATATTTGGGACTAAAGAAATTAATAAATATATCACATATGTATATCAGAGGCTATTCTTAAAATGAGAAAAATGAGAATTTTATATTATTAGTGTAAAAAAAAATTATTAATTTTATTTGCTTAAGAAACAAAGCAAAGCAGAAGAAGAGCCAGTTTTTAAATGGGGAATGAAGAAATTAGTGTAAATATTTAAGATACAAGCAGAACTTAAATAATTTGTTATTCATTTTATATTTTTAAAATTATCTACGCACTTTTTTTTCAATTATAAAACATTCGTAACTTTATTGCCTGCCATTCAAATAACTCATGAATACTTTTCTAATCTCATTCGTTTTCACTGCATTAAAAAAACACAAAAGCAATCAGATTCGCAACTTTTTGGACAGCAACAACAAAATTAATACTCAAAATCGATATAGAAAGTGCAAAGAACATCAAAAGATCTCACAGCTCACTTTTATATATATGCCATATAGTCATATGTAGTGCCTGATTCCATGCACACATTTGTGACTGTGTTGTCTCTCTCTCGCTCTCTCTCTCATGTGTTCGTGTCAAACAAATAACATTACAAACATTCTTTGTGCTCAATGCAAAGCAATGCGTCGTGCAAACATCAAACGTGGTCAATGTTTGAGTCTAAGGTAAACCAAAGTAACCAGAACTAAATGCCTAACTAAATATCTAATTAAAAACTTTTAATATTCTATTTACAACATTACAACATATAAATATACTTTTATCTATTTGCAACACTTGCAGACCACAAGGTAGCAGCAAAATGGATCGTTATGAGAAGCTCAGTCGCCTGGGCGAGGGCTCCTACGGCGTTGTCTACAAATGCCGGGATCGAGAAACTGGCGCACTCGTTGCGGTCAAGAGATTTGTCGAGTCTGAGGACGATCCAGCCATTCGCAAAATAGCGCTGCGAGAAATAAGGCTGCTCAAGGTAATTACAAGAACTCAAACTCAAACAAAATATAAATATTTCTATGCATATATATATATATATGTTTTTTAAATAATACTATATCGCATTTATGTGATTTTCTTAAAAAACAATTTTTAAATTTTTTTGTTATATTGCAAAAGGTTTTTTAATTCTATCATGAAAGCTGACAATGTCGAGTCTACAAAGCAAGCCACTATCTTCGGTTCTTAGCTGTAACCATTTGAGAATTATAAGCAACAAAATGGCGACAAAGCTTCTTCTGCGCGCTTAGCACTGCGGTATACACTGTGTTTATCGAAGCGCAGCGCATTTGATACCCTTATAGGGCATCAAGGAAGGAAACATCTGCGACCCCATAAAGTATATATATTCTTGATCAGCATCAACAGTCGAGTTTATATGTTCGTCTCTCCGTCCCTCAGTCTTAAAACTATCCTCTTAAAACTTTTCATAGGTCCTTCTTTCAATTGCAGACAGTAAATACGTTCGCTCCGAGCGGATCGGACCACTATATCATAAAGCTGCCATAGAAACAATCGGTCGAAAAAGTATAACATATGCTCGCGCCAGAATACTTTTAGATAGACATATTATTATTCAAGTGGGACTAGGAATAATAACATTTGAATATGATTCAAATTCGAATAGGAAATAGCAGATAATTAAAAAAGATATATGTACTTAAGAATATGCACTTTTGACATAAAGGAAAGTGTTATTAGGATGAGTTAAGTGTAAATGAATTAAATGTAAATGAGTTAAGTGTAAATGAACTCCTCTCCTGGAGATTAAAGATATGTACAGATAGGATAATTAGATAATCAATGTTTTTTGTCAAACAGAATATAAGTTTCTTTGAATTGCAATCAAACTAAATGTTTGAAGATCTACATTGGAAGACTCTTGCAAATTTGAAAAAAGAACTGGAGATAGGGAATTATTGAACTTTGCTCCTCGAGATATCCTCGCCAAGCCCAGCAATAAAGAGCTTCACTTGAATCCTAGATCTCCATCTATCCGCCAGAACATTTATTAGTTTCGTTCTTTCTTCCTTTCTCACTTAATACAAAATCTAATCTTATAAGTTCGAACTTTCGCATTTAATCCCAACTTATTTCAATTTCTATCTCTTTTAGAATCTCAAGCACCCAAATCTGGTGTCCCTATTGGAAGTGTTTCGTCGCAAGCGTCGCCTGCATTTGGTCTTTGAGTTCTGCGAGCTGACGGTGCTGCACGAGCTGGAGAGGCATCCGCAGGGCTGCCCGGAGCCGCTGACCAAGCAGATCTGCTATCAGACACTATTGGGCGTGGCATATTGCCACAAGCAGGGCTGCCTGCATCGCGACATCAAGCCAGAGAACATATTGCTGACGGCCCAGGGCCAGGTGAAGCTGTGCGACTTTGGCTTCGCCCGCATGCTCAGTCCGGGCGAGAACTACACAGACTATGTGGCCACCCGCTGGTATCGGGCGCCCGAGCTGCTTGTGGGCGACACACAATACGGCACACCGGTGGACGTGTGGGCGATCGGCTGCCTGTTCGCGGAGCTGGTGCGCGGCGAGGCGCTGTGGCCGGGACGCAGCGATGTGGATCAGCTGTATTTGATACGAAAGACGCTGGGCGACTTGCTGCCGCGGCACATACAGATCTTCGGGCAGAACGAGTACTTTAAGGGCATAACGCTGCCGGTGCCGCCGACGCTGGAGCCGCTGGAGGACAAAATGCCGGCGAAGGCGCTGCAGAATCCGCTCACCATCGATGTGCTCAAAAAATGCCTCGACAAGGATCCGGCCAAGCGCTGGTCCTGCGACAAGCTGATCAAGCACTCCTACTTCGACGACTACATAGCCAAACAGCGCGAGCTGGAACATATCAACAGCCTGGAGGCGGCCACGCTGCGCCAGCAGCAGCTGGCCTCCCAGCAGTTCATGCTGGCCACGGCCGCCCAGCAGCTGCAGACGGGCGCGGCGCAGGCGGCGGCCATTGCGGCGGCACGTGATAAATCAAAGGTGAGCTCGCAGAGAAGTCCTACCCCCTTCATTATTGCATCATTCTATAATCCTGTACAGCAGACTTCAAACACCTCCTTGCCGCTGCTGCCGAGCAATCAGCATCAGCATCAGCATCATCATCATCCGCATCAGGACTTTGTCAAGCTGCAGCCGCTGAACAAGAATGCGGCCATGCTCCATCGCACCGAGCATCATCTGCCCACAATTTGAGCTGCGATCCCCTTCCCACACCCCCCCCCCCCCCCTCACCACACCCCCTCCTCATCCTATCGCCGACTTGACTCAGAGTATTCAACTGGTATTTAACTACGTTAAAGAATTGCATAAGTTTCTTATTTGACAACTTCAATCAATAAATGTAAAGTGTGTAAAAAATAATGCAAATTATTTGATTTATTCACCATTTTATCGATATTTCTTATTAAACTTTAGATCTTTAGAACAATTAAATCTGTCTGGCTCCAGTTACAGATATTTGGGATTAGCCACGCCCCCCGTAGGCGTAGCCAACACTTTAACATTTATACACGAGTTATACACAAAATAAACAATACAATTATTATTAATAAATAATAATAATCAAAATAATGTCTAGCCAGCAAGACGCATAAAGCCCAAAACTAATATGCTCTCTTTACATTGTAAGCGAGTATTAAAATGTTAGTTAACATAAACAATATGTAAACTAACATTCTGTTATACGCTCCTAATAGTTTGTATAAAAACACAATTTGTTCAAATAATTTGTATAACTGTTTTGACAAAAATAATTAAAGAGCAAACCTTTTCCCAAAAAGTATTTCTTAAGCAGATAAAAAAGTTGATTTGACAAAAGCCCAACGAGCTTTTATTTTTAAGTAGATAAAAATAATTTCGCTTACCGCAAAAAAAAGCTGGCTGTTGCTCGCTCTCCTTTTCTCTCTCTTGCTCAGGCGACTATTGTGAATCACATTTAATCGTACGCCAATTTTTCACTTTTCAAATTTTACACACACAACCAAGCACCAATAAAAAACCCGCGCTTTTTAACCTTTTATCAAATATTACTGCATGACCAAAGTTCGGAAACTGGTATATGCACTAAACTAGCACACGCGCCATGTATTTATCACCTAACACCGGACAATTTAATATAATTTACAATCAAACGCGTTCACACAGGCACACACACAAATACAACCGATCAACACGGCAGACGCGCACAGACTAAATCCTCTTATTGAGCGCGCGCCTAGGCTAAGCCAGTACTCCCACTAATACAACAACATCTGAGAGCACACTTATAATCCAGCAGCCGCGCTCACGGCATACACACAGCACAGCCCGCCCACATGGCCCGCTCTCTGCATTGAGCTTCAGACTGCACTCTGAGCGTACATATAACAGGATCACAAGCGTCTGAGCCAATGGCGTGTGCGCAGTATCCGATTATCATCTACGCTTGCATTATCCACATTATGGACCCTCTGGATAAACGCGCTCAGCAGGCGCGAAGTGTTATGCAAATGCTTTAGATAGAGCTGACGCACTCACTAAGGCATATAACAGTTATGCATACTTATGTATAAATATGTTTATGCCCTTAAAGAGAGTCTCATGACTTTGTCATTTAATGTGTAACTCTTAAATGTAGACTGCTTGAAAGCCATAAAATAAATATTTCTTATTGAGCATCATTAATATTTTAATTGATATATGCGTACATAAATGTTATATGATTAAGCTAACTATTAAATATATAATGTCACCTTAATTGAATGACTCGCGTTTTTGTAAATTAAATGAAATATTCTTAACTGATTTAATCCAGATGAGCTTTGCACACACATGCACATTGAATTAAAATCCGCCCAGCGACAGACTTGGCTCTCAGCCTCCAGCCAGCTGTCGTTAACTTGACTTCCACCTACCTAGAACCTTACACATGCCACATCCACCCATCATCCACTTGTTGCAAAGTCACAGTTCGCCACGTGCCAGCCCCGACGTTGAGTGGTTCTGTTGCCAAGGCTCGACTTGCTTCTTCTTCTTATGCTTTTCTTTTTTTTTTTTTTGGCAGGCTAATCCGCTGCTAAGCACACGGCAGATAATCAGCGACACGTACAGTTTTACGTGTGTTCCGTTCATGTTACGGAAATGGAAAAAAAATCTGCTAACTTAGTGAAAGTGTTTGTTTTGATTGCAGTCATTAAATAAATATCATACATTTAAGGAGTATTAATAATAAATTTAGTAATTGAGAAGGTCGCTGGTTCAAAACAGTGTAATTTAATATTTTTATATACTCGGATTAATAATAATAATAATCATCATAAATACAATAATAATAATTTTACAGTTCATTTAGGGCTCCCAGCGCTAGTTCATTCAAAACGTTCAATTCAGTCTGGTATTTTCATGCACCGCGAACTAGTTCAGTAGTTCACGCTCTGTTCCATTCAAACTAGAACACTTAAATTACGAATTGAATTCGCTCAAAACTAATAACAAAAATAACCTAAACTTATTCAAATTTATTTACTAAATCCATAATTGTATTGCCAACTTCTGGGAAGGACTATACAAAGCAATTATGTAGCCGGGAACAGTTTTGAGTCTCAGCTGTCTGGGCTCGACTGGCTGCCGACTGATAGACTTCACTGTTTTATTGTGGGCCAAAAAGTTTTAATTAAATTAGTGTGCAAGCTGGCAGCACTGCAACACTGTCGAGAGTAACTGTAACTGTAACTGCTAACTGTCAACATAGCGCTGAATTCTCAGTGGTGCCCGCCAGTGTGGCCAGAGTTCTGAGTGAGCGGGACACTGGGAATGGCGACGGCGGGCAGACATTCAAATTGACTGTATCGCTCGCTCTCACACCCTCCCGCTCTCTCTCTCCGTTCGCTCCTGCCTTCTGCTTCAATGCACCCGTCGCCAAGTGCCTGGGCACAATTGCGAGACACTTTGATTTTTCGTTTGGCATCACAATAGTCCAGAAACTTTCCGCTTCTCCCTTTTTTATCGGCGCGCTGTGCATTTGACTGCAAATGCAAAAGGCAAAAAGCATTTGTAAGTCGCCACCACGCTACCCTTACCCAACTCCTCTGGCCATATCCTGTGCAGGATATGCAAAGTGTGCAGCGTGTTGTCGACTCGACGCTTGACAATCCCAGACAGTTGCATAATCTGTACTGCCGTTTATGCAAAAAGAGCTCCGCCAAAAAAAGAAGAGAGTGAGGGAGATGGAGAACGGGTCGGGGGCGGTCTGGAAGTAATGCTAAGAGGTGTCTGAATTGTTAAGCCCCAGCAAGTGCAGCGCACAGAGAAATCGAAGTGTCCTTTTTTTTATTGAATAAGTTGATAAAGCATTCTGGCTTCTTCCTTCGTTCTATTATCCGCTGCACCACAATTTTATAGCAATTTTATAAGGCTCTTATTGCGGTTTGCATTTAGAAACTTGGCATTAAATGGACAACAATCATCAATTTGTTCAAAATCGAATAAGATAACAAAAATGTATTTTACATTTATTTATTTTCCTACTTGAATTCTTCAAAATGGACATAAAACTTTTCTTTAAATCGTTTAAATTGGTTCCAAATAGAAAAAATTTGGTTTTTAAACTAATTTGAATATCTCCATATACATATTTATATACATATGTATATACATATATATATATATATATATATATATATATATATATATATATGCACTCCAAAAGCTCGGATATGCTTACTTTTATGCGTTACACATTTTAGAATACAATTTAAAGCATTCTCAGCAAGGGTACAAAGAAATATATGTACATACATATGCATATGTAAGCATACAGCTAATATGCCTTAATGAGTGCGTCAGCTGTATTTTAGCGTATTTGCATGAAACGTCGCGCCTGCTGAGCGCGTTTATCTAGAGAGTCCATGGATGGATAATGTGAGCGCGCAAGATAATCCATTCGGCCTTTGCGCACACGCCATTGGCTCAGACGCTTGTGATCCCGTTATATGTACGCTCAGAGTGCAGTCTGCGGCTATGTGCTGAGAGTGGGCCATGCAGACGGCTTGTGGTGGGCTGTGTGAGCGCGGCTGCTGCATAAGGCTGGCTGCATTAAGTGTGTGCTCTCAGATGTTGTTGTATTAGTGGGAGTACTGGCTTAGCCTAGGCGCGCGCTCAATAAGAGGATTTAGTCTGTGCGTGTCTGCCGTGCTGATCGGTCGTATTTGTGTGTGTGCCTGTGTAAAGCATTTGCTTGTAAATTATATTTAATTGCCCGGTGTTAGATGATAAATACGTGTCGTTAAATGTGTGCTAGTTTAATGTATATATAGTTCAGCTTAGTCCAGTCCCAGTCCTTGATATACGGCCATGCAAAAATTTTTGAGAGTCGTTTAAAAGCGCGCGTAATTTTTTTTTTTTTGTGTTCAACTATGTGTGAAAAAAATGGCATTCACAATAGCCTGAACAAGAGAGAGAAAAGGAGAACGAGCGATAGCGAGCTTTTTTATTTGCGGTAAGCGAAATCTCTTTATCTTTTTCAAAATGAAAGCTCGTTGTGCTTTTGTCAAAACAACATTTTAGCTGCTTAAGAAATATATTAAGTAAAGAGTTCTTCTCGTTGTCCTTAAATTTTTGTTGACAAATATCAAAGCTGCACAATGTAGATGCAAATATTGAAGTGTGTTATGTTCTCTATTATAGTATATATATACATATATATAGTTATATATAGTGATGCATCTTTTATTTTGACACACACCTTGAGGAAATTAGTGATAAAGGACTATACTTAGGCGTTAGTGTATTAGGGATAGAGTAGCTTAAACTCTTCAACCCAGAAGAGTTGAGCTCACCCGTAATTAACTTATAAATAAATATAACACCAAGTCAAGTGCTGCGATTAATTAAGGAAGGGAAAGTCTGCTGAGGATCCCAATCAAAGCCACGTGAGGGGCAACCCCTCAAGCTCTTAGCGCCAATGAAAATGTTGTTCCGCCGCGTAGCGTCGATTGATTGCATTTTTGCGCTCCACATCCCCGCCGACGCCCCGCAGCAGCTCATCGCGCTGCCAGTTGCGATAGACAGCCGAGTCCTGGAGCTGCTGCTCGTCCTTGTCGAGGGCCTGTTGCTGCCACCACTTCATGCTGACAGCCGGAACAGCCTGCACCGGAATAACTGAGATTACCTGAGGCTGGCGGCGCACGGGCCAGAGGCCCAGCTTGGCCAGACGCTTCTGCTCGTCAATGTCCGTGTCCTCGGGTGTGTGCAGCAGGCGCAGCTGCTGTATCTCGCCCTGCGCACGCCGCAACGGTATGGGCTGAAAGGGATCCTCGCCATAAAGCTGCCGATACTTGCTGCTCCGCACCAGGTTTATGATCTGGTACATGGCCAGGCAGGTGACACAGTTGTAGCCCGCGAAAACTGCCGTCGAACAAACAGAACACACTCATTAGAAAAGCAAACAACTCGAATGCATTTGCGTACACCTACGACAATAGAAGCTGCCCACCAGGGTGAGCACAATTAGCAGGCCCAAATTGATTTGCTTCTTCAGCATAATCATCATCACAATGTGGCTTATTGTTATGCCCAGAAAGTAGATGAGCTCGAACAAGGCCAACGGCAGCAACAGCCATTTGTGCAGCTAAAAAGTGATTGAAAGGAATTTCATTTAAATAAAAATAACTTCTCGAATAGAGCTACTTTTAAAAATATACTATATATATTTTGAAAAATTTCTATTTCACATTCTAGAATCTAGAATTCTAAAATTAAATATGGCTTCGAGATTTTAGAATGTATATCTGTGCATATATATCTTTTTGTGTGCGCTTCTTAGCTGAGCTAAGGAAAGGGCTTCAAATAACTTACAACAATTCAAAATCTGTTTCACGCCAAAAGAATGCAAATCTTACAATTCTTAGAGGCAAAGCTTATATAGAAAGTTAGATAGATTGATAGAAAGATAGATAGATAGATAGATAGATAGATAGATAGATAGATAGATAGATAGATAGATAGATAGATAGTTAGATAGATAGATAGATAGATAGATAGATAGATAGATGATAGATGGAAAGATAGATAGAAAGATAGATAGATGGATAGATGGATAGATAGATAGATGATAGATAGATAGAAAGATAGATAGATATATAGATAGATATATGGAAAGATAGATAGATGATAGATAGATAGATAGATAGATAGATAGATAGATAGATAGATGATAGATGGAAAGATAGATAGAAAGATAGATAGATGGATAGATGGATAGATGGATAGATGGATAGATAGATAGATGATAGATAGATAGAAAGATAGATAGATAGATAGATAGATAGATAGATATATGGAAAGATAGATAGATAGATATATGGAAAGATAGATAGATAGATAGATCGCATATGAAATAATTAAATAAATTAAAAGAATTAAATAAAATTACACAAATGTGCCCAAAAAGAAAACAAGTTAGAGGCTCTAGTCGGGAATTCCCAATAAATAAATACCTGAAAGATACTTGATATATATATTTATATTATTTGGAGACTTTAGCTCTCAAAGCGTCAGAGATTTGTTTAAGAAACAAGATTTCAACAGACGGAGAATGGCTAGATCGACTTGTCTATTCTTGCTGATCAGGAATATATATATATACTTCTTTGTGGGCTTCTGTGTGCTTCTTTCTGCCTGTTACATACTTTTTTTAAAAAACCAGTATACCCCTTTTACACTTTTGTCAAAGGGTTAGGGCTTTAAACAGGGAAACATTTAACTACAAATTCCTAGTTCCTAGTTCCCAGTTCCTAGTTCCCAGTTCCCAGTTCCTAGTTCCTAAGCTCAAATTTGCAGCTCTAAAAAGTGTTCACACACATTATAAAAACTAATGAAATATTGAGAGCGTAATAGAAGTTGGGATTGGCTCCTAGAAATGGGTGTATCAAGTACTTACCCTCAAGGCGCCGACCATGCCCAGAATGGCAGCTGCAATGTGAGCGTAGCACATGATCTGCAGGAATATCAGCACATTATCGGGTGCTGCAATGTTTATAAATGAAAAAAGCATTAGTTGCACACAATTTTTAAAAATTTCCGAAACAATTTCCCAGCCAGAAGAAGAACTTAATTAAATTGAATGCGAAACGTGGTTTTGTTTCAGCTGAAGATGAGGCAATTTTAAGACTCGCTTCCTAGAGGAATAAAAGTTAACACATTCCGGGTTTGAACCAGCTTGTTTCAAACCCTATTTGCAGCCCTAACTCTCATACTCACACTGCTCTATCCAGTTGATGAGTCGGCGTATAATATTGCTGCTCTTATACTGTGAATCATTCTCCAGCAAATCGATAAGTTCGTCGAACAAGCGCACGCCCCGCACAAAGAGGAGTGTGCTCAATGTTAGGGACAGCATCTGGGGAAAGTTGTGTATGAAGATCAGGATCAAAAATACGAAAAGTATGCTGCTTACAATGGCCAAGGCAGCCACAATCAGTACGCCCAGACGCACGGAACAATAGCACAAATAGCTTTTCATAAACAACATATTGCGAGCTCTATAACCTTAAACGCTTGGCCATATTTCAGGCGACAACTAGCCGAGCTGGCTGCGACTGCCCCAGCCGGACAAATGGCCCAAAGACAATAACGAGCGATTACAAGGACAAAGGGACTCAAAGGGTGGGCGGGAGTTTCGTAAATGACAAAAGCTTGTTCCACCTGCAGATGCCAATCTGCATACATGATATTCATATTTGTATATTTGTATTCATATATTTGGCCCTAATGCAACGCGTATGGCTAACAATATTTCATTCGCCAGCCGAACGTCATGGCGTTCGCCTCGCAAGGACGAAAGGCTCAGTGCCTGGCCGAAATGCTGTTCATGGAGTCCTATCTGTTCTGCGCCTCGGTTCGACTGGGCGTTATTCTGATAAGCGCGTTTGCATTGGTTTGTTAAGCTTAAAAACATATATTTAACTAGAAGAGATTACCCGGCGTTGCTCGGCTGTGGTCCCTTATCATTCGTTTTCCTTTCAATTTGGCTTTTCTCGAATTTGATATTCCTTTTACTTTGTGAATGGTCACAAATGCAGCTGGCTTTGAACCAGCGACTTCTCAATTCCTAATTTCTGCTCGTTTTCAACTTTACGCACACTATTCACAGATAAAAAGCATTACTATTTTATATGTTATCTCTACGGAGGGCTTTGATTTCACGCTTTCGCTAATTTCCACCTTCGACATTAATCTGAGCTATCGAGCCAGCTACTATATGGTCAGAGATACCATTTACTGGCTGGAACAGTGTGAGTATGAACAAAAGAAAAACAAGAGGAGATGTTGCTCAAAACTAAAAAAAACACACGTCTTTGTTTGTTGAAGAGCACAGAACATAATGCACTTCTATAATTTTGAACAAACATTTTGTCGGCACAAAAAAGAAATAAAAGAAAATTTGTGTGCAATCAGTTTATTTATTTAATAATATTTTTATTTTATTATTACGTATATTTTTAAAAGGATTTTTTTTAAGTGTTCCGGGGTAAAATGAACTGAAGAAAATGCGAATTTTCCCATTTTCTTATTATTTTAAATAAAAAAAAAAATTCCATATAGAAAAAACTTATATTCCTATAATATTACTTAACTATTTTCTCATAACAAAATCATGAATTAAAAATATTTATTTTATATTATTCTATTATAATTCTTATTTAATAATTAAACTGTTTTATTTTTTTATTTTTTTGTTTTATTTTTTTTTCCATCCTGAAAAAAACTCTATAAAAATGCGGTATTACTTTATTATAATATTGATATAATTATTAGTTTAAGAAAATGGGTTCAGAATTAGGATTAATTATATATTTTTCAATGTTTAAATATGTGTCTTAGGTTCACAAAATTAGTTGTATTTTTTACAATATTTTCATTTGGTTATAATTGAATGTTATTTGTTTTTTCCTCAAAATCAGCAATTTAAACAAACAATTTTTGGAATTTTCTTTTCGTTCTTGTCGAAATGCACATCTTGTGCATATTGCCATATAATTGTTGTTCAGTATTTGTCGTGGCCTATATCGTGTATATAACCATACTATCTTACAGATCCCGAGACAGTTACCATATTTCTGCAGCTTTATACCATTATCCATTGCATGTCCTGCATTCTTGCCGCCTTTGGGGCTTATAAAGTGAGCGCTGGCATAAAATGTGAAATTCGCTGAGTTTCTTTTTTTTTTTGCATTTCTTGAACAGCTAAGGCGTTATTTTGTTTTACCCTTGGCCATATTCGAGTTTGTGTATATCGTGCAAATCCTAACGCTTTTCGTTCTCTTTCTGCGCATCGTCAGGCATTTCGTGAGCCTGGAAAAACTAATATTGCTAACTCTTACGGCGTCTGCCTACGCAAGTGTGTGCTCTGACTATTTAAATATATATATTTAAGTATTTTTATATATTTAACATATCTCACAGTGCTAACGGTCTATGACTTCTTGGCGCTGATCGCCTTTGAGCAAATCATGAAACTTGTGCGAAGCCGGCAATACCAAGAGCTCTATGGCTCGGATCTGTTCAGGCCCAGACTCAATATGGTTCATGTCTCGCCGAAAGTGGACAAAAGTATGCCCAAATGGTGGCAAGCGGAAAACTCGGAACCAATTTCTGATATCAACTATGGCCAAGATGAGGCCCACAAGCATTTCCAGAGCCAGGAACTGTTGGCCGAAGTCTTGCTTCGTAATGCCATCAACTTGGACTATGCTCACAGAAAAGGATTCTAATTTACAAATCGAATTCTAATTTAAAAAATAAAATTGTATTTGAAACAAGTTCGTTTTGGTTTTTCATGTGCAACATTTCCTATTGTAAAATTCAAATTTTCTTATATGTTGTTACACATTTTCGCAATTATGGGAATTTAACTTTTCAGTTCCTACTTCTTTTGATGTTACTTTTTACTTATTTTTATTTATTTATGGGAATTTATTTTATTATAAGAATTTAGCTGCCCAGTTCTTGTTTCTTACTTGTTTTTTATTTATTTTTAAATATTTAAATTTATTAAATTTTTCTTATGTCATGCCAAATTTTTCGGATTAAAAAGGTTCAACTTTTCAGTTTGGAACTTTCCTATCCTCTATCCCTTATCCCTTTATGTTATCCCAAATTCTTGTCTCATGCGCTAGCATTTTTTAAGATATAAAACAATTCCGAATTGTTTTCCACCCTATTGGTATTATTTGTTTAAATATTCTGATTTGCTGTTTCCCTGTTATATCTGACATTCACCAGTTATCAAAGCCATAAACCTCTTAGTAATTTTCGGAGTCTCTGTTCGAGGTTTGAAACAAGACTGCAAGTCAAGGCTCGGTTTGTGAACCTGCTTGGCCACATCAACCCAGGGGTTGATGGGGTTCAAAACTTAGCTCTCGCTTTGCTTACAATTTTCAATAAAAACAATGTTATTTATAAAATCTACGTACAAAATTATAAAATATTGTATTTACGCGCTCGCATCGTTTCGATCTAAAACCGTTTAATAGCCCTGCTCCTCGTTCGTGCTCAGGATTTATTGCTCAAAACCGTTTTCGGAAACACAACATTTGACCTAGAGAAAGCAAACTCTGCTTAAGCGCCATCTAGCGTCAGTTTAGCAAAGCGCACACTCTCACCACACTTGCAATATTGCCACTCTCACCACAATTGCAGCGCTGCCATCTTGCCGCAAATGGTGAGATTTTTATTTGAAAATTGTAGAAGCGATATCAGAGTATAGAAGAGATGTAAACATGGTTCCAATTTGAAGGTGCGGCAATTACTGCAATTTTTATAGGTTTTTGGCTGTAGCTTCTTTTGTTTATGCTCCTTGCGTGCAAAAATCGTCCCTTTGCTTCAAAGTCGAGAAGAATCGATATCGAGCATATTTCGGGGACTTTAAGATTTAGAGACACCAAATTTGGATTGTAGAGTCTTGTAAGGCATACACAGACCATGAACATTTCACTTTTATAACTTCCCCTTGTTCTAAAAATATCATTAAAGCTTTAGACTTGAGCTTTGGTATTCGCATACATTTGGATGGCATATTTATCAGTTCTTTTGTTGAGGCCTCATGTGGCTATTAATAATTTTCCCGTATTCTGTTATAGAACAGATCTCGAGAACTATAAGAGCTAGAGACTCCAAATTTGGTGTGCAGAGTCCCGTTAGACTACATGTACAATAAGTACTTCATTTTTTTTAAAAATCTCGCCGTTCCAACATTTGAAAATTCATTGAGTTTTCTTGTCTTTAAGGAAACTTTTTTACTTTTGAAACTGCCTATAAAATTTTATTTTGTACATTTCTTTTATAAATTTAATTTTACTTAATACATAATTATATCAATATTTTTCTATCAATTACATATTTACTTGATTATTTATTTAACAAAAATTGGAAGGTAGATAAACAGAATCGAGGCGAGCTGCATTCAAAGAGTGTCCCTTTCCTAAATATAAACATATTTTAAATATGCATCCAACTATTTGAACTATTTTAAATATTTACAACTTAACTTAAGTTTATATTAGTTGAACGCAAGACAGGCAAAGGCCTGTCTCGTCTCCTCGTGTCACGTCACGCAATTCTTGTTCTTGCCGTAGAGTACTCGATATTCGGGCTCAATTTTGGTCTTGATAAACCTGGTCATTTCCTTGGCATACTTGGCGCGCACCGAATTGCGAGCGGGCTTCTTAATGCCGGGACTGTGCACCAGAAAGGCAGGATGCAGGACATGATACTCGTAGCCCAGCAGGCACATAGCATAGCCCTGAAAGGAACCCAGTTAGAGGGTATAAATTAAACGATTTCCAATGCTTTAAAATGAGAAAGGATCTTAAGGATCGACAAGCAATAACATTTAACGAAATTATATAAGTGCAATTCCTGGAACTGATTTGATTATGACTTCGTGCCTGTGCATCTGCAAAAGAATAAAATGGCCTAAAGAGACCGTAAAAACTATTTTTCTACGATTTTTTATAATCATAATTTCCCTGCAAAATGTAATTTTAAAATGTTCCTTTTTTATCTTCATCTTTAAGTTCCATCTTTCATACAATATTAAATTAATTATATTTAAATAATACAAAGTGCTTTATACAAATTAACATTTACGCAGTGTGACCGCATAATGTCCTTCGAAAGGAACGGTCACACAAGCAAGCTAAGTGGAATCATATTTTTCAGTGTGACCCTAAGTTCCAGACTTTTGCTGGGCACACTGTGAACAGCTGATCGAGGGGATTTTGTTCAAATCTGAATCAGTTTAAGGAAAGGAGAAGGGCCTTATAAATATAATATATTATATCTCCTTTTTGATATATCATATTATAAATTTGTTTAGAAATATGGAAACTATAGTAAGAGTCAACCTCAACAGTATTAAGCGTAGATATGCTGGATCAAAAAGTCAAAAGTCTTACAGCCTTCTTTCTGCCCAAAATTGATTTCGTTTATGAAAAACTCCTTAACAAACTTGGCTCTATTGAAGAAATCGGTACATTTTATGCCCCTGCTCTCTCTTAATATCGATTTATGACTTTTCTCCGATTAGAACGAAGAGCAAATCGAGCAATATTTGACCCACCTGTATGCGCTTATTGGACTGTCCCTCCCAGGTGACGCGCTCATCGAAAATGGGCTCCGTATTGTCGCTGATATAGAAGGGCTCCCAGTATTTGTAGTTGCCCTGTCGCACGGTCATGCTGAACAGATTCAGATCGTCCGCGACGCTGGCCGTGCGATTTATCCAGTCCTTGTAGCCGGGCACCTTGTGGCAGCTGGTGCAGACCTTCGCATGGAAGAGCTGCGCCCGACCCTTCTCCAGAAGGGGCAGCAACTCGGCCTTGTCATTGGGCACACGCTCCCCATCCTTTAGCTCAAAGACGGGCAGTGGATAGACTCGCGGCTTTTGGCCTGGACTCATAGCCAGCACACTATTGTTGCGCTGCACCATGTCCAGGAACTGATCCACCAGGCCCAGGCTCGGATAGAGCTCAATGTCGCAGGCGAAAATGAAGTGTGTATTGACCGCGCCCCGTGCGATATTCCGGCCCACATTTATCGGATAGGTCAGATTCGCCTGCACCTTGTACATGGCCGTACGGTTCTGTGCGGCATAAGGCGGCGGCAACATGTTGCCCTCCTCATCCACACAGCGAAAGGGCCAGTTGAGGGCGTCGTTCTCGTCTCGGGGCACATACTCCGGCATATGCTCGTTGGAGAAGTAAATGTGAAAGCTGACAAAATCGCTGATCAACTGGCTGCCCGGCAAACAGTTTCTCACATACTGTATGGCATCCAGCGTGGCGTTCAGATCGTAGCCGGGCGTGTGTATCGCAAAACTGATTGGTCCCAGCCAGCTGCAAGCGGATGTCACAAATTCATGATTGATAAAATACATAAAGCTGGCAGATTTCTAGAAAAAACCATAAGCAAGAGCTCTAATCGTCTAGCAAGTCTAAGCTGCTGTTCAAAATAGCTCTAGCTTTTTCGCCCACAAGCACGCATGTTTCTTCCTTCCTAAAACCCAGCCAAAAGCTAAATCCGTGCTTGAATAACTCCGGTGCCTAAAGTCCGATCGCTTTGAATTTTTTTGGACTTAAATGTGCCTTCAAAAATTGTGTACATCCCAAAGCTCGAAGCTGTCTCTCCAAAAATAAGTTCTGTACATTTATTTGGACAACTGTGCGAGGTATCACATAGAATATTCAACTTTTCTGGATATGTTTGTGCTATACAAGAAACTAAATTCTTAGTTTAAAAACTGTAGTTCTTAAGATTATCGAAATATGCTCAAAGAACAGCCAAAACGACTTCGATAGATCGATTTTTATCGATTTTGGACTTAGGTCTTCAGATTCTTCTCTTGAAAAAGGACTGTAACATTTTTGACATAATTTTGAGACAGAAAAATATATTGGAACCAAAAATGAACAAAAACTTTGTTGGGCTAGCAATAAAAAAAAAAAAACAAATATATATTTTTTCCAATAGACTTTACGTACTCTCAAGCAAGGCAACTTTAGCTCGAGCTATTAGCCTGGAAATTCCTTCTTCGTAATTAAAATAGTAAAATTTACTTAATATGCTCAAAATACAAAAACTATTCAAATGATAAACGTGCTTAAAGTACCCTAATTTAAAAGCTAAAACAGTTACGATCCTTGAAAAGCGATTCAAATTCAAGATATTTTTAAGCAAAAGGCTGCGCTTACCGCTCGGTGACCGTCTCGAGATTGTCAAAGAAGGTGTAATCCCCATTTGTGGTGTAGGTGATGGACTCGGCGCAGCCCATGCGTCGACTCTCGCGTCCCATGACCAGGTTCTGGATGACCCAGTAGCTGCCGTGCTGCAGTCTTTGCAGTCTCAGACGACGATTGCGACATTTGAGCAGCGCCTGCAGCTCCTGGCTGCGCTCCGACAACCATCTGGGCTCCTCGGTGCTTGGCGAAGCCGCTGCGGCTATGTCCCGAAGCGTGAGGGACTCCGCCTGCAATTGATGGCCTTGACGCCTCTCGTGGGCAGCTGCCAGCTGTTGGGCTTGCCGCAGATTTTGCGAGACGAGCAGCAAAGCCAGAAGGACGAGCAGCACCAGCAGCACACTGCGTTTATTGACCTGCACAACCATGGATGTGGTAGCACTTGGGCTGAGTGCAAAATTGAAACAATTACTTATATTGCAATTGCATTATGATGCACATTTATATATAACTCGCGCGCACTTTACAACTGTCAC